GTTAAATTTTTTAATGGATGGAGCATTTTTGTTATTATTTTATATTTTAAAAAATAAATATTATGTTTTAAAGATTAAGAGAGGAAATGTTACGTAGGAAAATTTTTGTAATTAATCCGTTTTTCTTCGATAAATACTTTGGCTTTTTTTTTTTGTGTTAGCACTGAGTAGTACTAGTGATGGCTGATTTTGCACTGTTCTCCTTTATCGGTGCAAGTGTGGGCATTTTGTGCCAATGAGATCGTGGGGCAACCTAAGCATCTATTTCCCACCGTTGATGAGCACTGTTGACGGTGTTTTTCCGTCAACTCGTGATTAGCTCTCCAGAAACAACACGCGTTAACACTCACGGTCTAATTAAGGATTAAGACTTAAAAATAACACAAGGGATACAACAATTTTATAGTGGTTCGGCAATAACTTTTTGCCTAATCCACTTGTGCATGCACTAATATTTCAATTGGTTACAAGTTTTCTCCTCTTAGTAATGAAATGATGTCTAGCCCCTTTTTGGGCTCTATTTGGCTCTATTTATAGGCAGTTACAAACAACTAAGCCTTCTCCGTTCCCAAGGAGGAAGCCATCTTCCATCCTCGATCTTCGGGAGGGTAGGTGAGTTTTCATGATGACAATCTCAGGAAATGCGGCTGACCCCTCTCATCTACCGCACGATCCACTGACTCCTGCAGTAGCCGTTAGATTGATGCTTCCTTCCCCGAGTTGACAAGACTGCTGACGGGTTTGACTTGGCGGGATTCCTCGACGCAGTGGCTCTCAGAGGTCGAATCGCTATCATTGACGCCTATCTCCATGTGTGATCTCTCGGCGTAGAGGGCACCTTAGCTACAGCCACTCATTTGACGCTAGTGACCGATGCAGAACGGGGAGTCCTCGGCGCCTAGCGTCGAGAGTGTGGTCGATCCCTCGACCATGGTGTAACAATTACCCCCTAGGCTGGGACGTCGTGACACAACTTTCCTGACTACTCAGCGTTGAGGATGCCTCGTGATAAAAGCTTTTCTGCAGGCAGCAGTGGTGACTTGCCAGCACAGTGATCCTTGCGGTTGGTTTCTCGGGCAGCGGAACCGTCACGTCGATCTTGTCAGCAGCCACGTCCCCAGTTTCCTGGCACCACGTGACCCTGGGAGGATGAACCACAGCCGTCCGATTAGATCCCTCTCCATTGCTTTCTCCCCAACCGTTGGATCACACATTCTCGAATTCACCGTTGGATGGAACCGAATCGAATTCGACGGTCGGGATTTGGAGTCCTTTGGACTCCTCAGGCGTGTATTTAAACCCTCTGCGAGGGCGTTGAGGCTGCACATTTCCTTGAATGCCGTTACGTTGCCGGATTTTTCCCAGACACTCTTGGTTCCGCACGCTTCTTACCTTCATCCCCATATTTACGTCTTCTAACAACCAGTGAGTTCCGGTTCCCTTTTATTTTTGCCATTGTCCTGGTGCCATTGCGTGTAAAACAATGACCCCGTATCGAAACAAGAAAAAATGGGAGAAACTGTGGTCATCCACCATGGCTGGCTGTACGCCCGGGGCTGAGCTTGAGTTCCCAGCCCCTGGTTCTGGTAACTTTGGCTGGGACCTGTTCTTCGTGCCTCTCTGCACAACACTTTGACCTCTCAACCATTAGGACCTAACTTTGCCCTTTGTTTATTTTCCAGAGCATGTCGCCAAAACAAGCTAGGGGTCGAGAGGTCTCCACATCAAGGGTGAGGGATGACCCAGTCGAGGTGGCGACGATGAGCTCGTCCTCGGACGGGAGTGTGGACTCTCTGCTTCGGCAGGTGGAAGACTACCGCGAGGCGTCGGCCTCGCTCTCTCGGTCAGACGAGCTGATCCTCCTCGACGAGGAGGACACTGGTGGGCAGGTCGGCCCTGCTGAAGGCCGGGGATACGGGGTCGTGTCGACCGGTGGCCTCTCGGGTTTGGCCACAGATATTAACCCGTCGAAGATTAAGCCCCGGGCCGCTCTGAAGGCCTTCAATGATGCCGGGATCGACCCCTGCATTTTTACTTGATCATCCCGACCCCCAGTGACCGGGCCCACAACCCCCCTGCCAATCATATGACTGTTTACACCCGGGCTCTTAGCTTCGGGCAAACTCTCCCTTTCCATCCTTTTGAGAAGGCCCTTTGTAGCCTTCACAAGATATCCCCTGCACAGCTGTCACCCAACTGTTGGGTGACAATTAACTCCATGATTATCCTATGGAGGAAATTCTTAGGGGTCGACTTAACCGTCGATGAATTTTTGTACTGTTACTCCCTCAAGGCCTCCCCAGACCAGAGGGAATTTTTCTATTTAGCTTCCTCCGCCAAGTCTAAGCCTCCCGTTCCCCCGTTGGTGGTCGAGAAGACCTCTAGTGCCCATGGGTGGAAGTCCCAATTCTTTTTCATTGGGGGCAATTTCAACTCCCACCCTCTCGACGGCGAGCGTCCCTTAGGGACGCAAACAGTATTCAGCAAATACTGTAGGTCCCCCACTCTCTATGCTCCGTCTTGATAGCACCGATTTTGTCCGTCGAGCTTTCTAACGCATTGCTTCTTGTTGCAGGTGAAATTATCCCTCGGCTGCGACTCCCTGCTTCTGCTCTTGCACGCATCGAGTGGGTTCTCGCTCTTCCTGAAGACAACTGTCGCGCTTCGGTTCTTAACACTGCCAAGAACCGGGAAGAATACAGCTTGTCCGTGCTCCTCGACACTCCTTGACGCCCTGTCGGCCCTCCCGCGGATCTCCTGAGTGGTAAGTCATGGCTTTTCTCTCTTGTTCTTGTCTGGGGCCGAGGGATACGATCGAGAGGTTCTCGGACTGACCCCTTTTTCTTTTTACAGCTGTGCCGTCAGAGATGACGTATGCTGTCCCAGCGAGGCCGAGGAAGAGAAAGAACAGGGATGAAACTTCAGAACCGCCTAGGCAACCGCTGAGGTAACCGCCTGTTCAGGTCGCTCCCTCCCCCCGTGTCGCTGATCCTCTCCTTCGGGGGATGTTTGTGATTGACCCATCCGCCAAGGGGCCATGGGTCGAGGACTCCCGGGCCCCGGTGGAGGTCAGGGAGTCGCCATCACAGCAGGCTCGGTGCCTCAAGAAGGGGAAGGGCGTCGAGGAGGTCCCTCCTGAACCTGAGCGGCTGGTGATGCCGGGGTCAAAAATGGATGACCCCAAGTTTGTTGTCACGGACGTTGTGTCGCGGCATCTCCATAATGCTCTGCGCCTTCCTCCCCACTTCAGCCTCCCTATCCAGGCCATTTACACACTCTTCCACGAAGATTCCTGGAACTCCTTCGCTAGGAGGAGCATTCTAGAATGCCAGCGTCTGATTGTGACGTGCCAACTCTCGGTATGCTCCTCGACTTTTGCTTTCCTTTTTTAGGGTTATGTCTCTGCGCTCTAACCTTGTCCCCCCCTTTCCCTTGGTACGCAGGCCCTTGAGCTCGCCCTCCAAAACTATGTGGAGCTGGAAGACCTGATTCAGAAGGAGGCGGCATCGAAAGACGCCGAGCAGGAGCTCCAGACCCTTCGTGCCGCCCGGGAGGAGCTTTCCTTGAACCTAGAGGTCGAGAAGGCCAAGGTGGTGTCTCTTGGGGAGAGCATCACTACCGAGAAGGCCGCCAGCTTCTGGGAGGGCGAACGGCAGGGAAGCTCCAAGGCCGTTGAAGAATACCTCTCGTCCGCCGAGTTCCAGCAGCGGCAGAGAGAAGTGGCTTCAAAGGCGGTCTGGGACTTCATGGCCTCTGAGGAGTTCGGTCGCTTGGTCGACGCCAGGTTGGAGTCGTTCAAGGTGTCCAGGAAGCTCCAGGAGATAGTTGAGGGGCAGGTGGAGCAGTTCAAGTCCTCTGAGGCCTTCGAGGAGCTCGTAAACCAGAGGCTCGACGCCTATCAGGACTCTGCTGAGTTTGAGGAATTCCAGTTGTCCCTCATAAAGTCTGCTGGGGAGCAAATCCTCGACCACTTCCGGAAGAAGCGTCCGGATGTCGACCTTACTTTCCTCGACGAGTCTGACAGCGAGGAGGTAGAGGTTGTCGAACTGGACCAACCGGCTGGGGGTGTCGAGTGGACACAGGTTGAGGCTAAGCAAGCGGCCGAGGGCTTAGAGCGGACGCTGGGAGAAGGCGGCGAGCCGAAGCTAGGGGGCGAGGAGCAGGCCGACGGGGACGGGGGCGCGTAGTAAAGAGATTTTAGTTTCTCTCTTCTTGCTGTTATTCTTTTTTTTTTTTTTACAATGGGGCTGTAAAGCCCATACAATATTTATTTGGTGGTTTGTAACGACCATAAGGTCGAGACAAGTATTTTTGTTGTGTTTTCTTTTTATATATTCATGTTTACTTTGTTCATTCTGTTGTGTGGAGAATTTTTCGCTAAGTGTAGGCTCGACTACCTTTCGTGAGTTGAGTTTTTTTTTTTTGTGTGAGGGGCCTCATGTTGGGCCTTAGTACCCCCTCGCCTAAGCTGAGTTTCAGAACTCGGCTTTGGCGTACCATTGTCGAAGCGTCGACATAGATGGTAGAATATTAAGTGTAGGAACTTTGCTTGTTGCTTGGGTATGGTTGAGCCGGAGCCCCACCGCCCTTGCAAGTTCGTGGGGGCCTTATTGTCCCCTCGTTGTCGACGTATCGATGATTTTAGTCGACGTATCGACAAATTGATCTGATCGACGTATCAACGGGAACAGTAAACAGTTGTACTCGCGTAACAAGAATCGGTCGTAAGGCAAGATTTGTTTAGCTAAGCGTATAACGCACGCTGCTTTTTATTCATGTAGAATTTACAAGTGGCTTTTTAGCCTACCAGAAAAGAGAGATGAGACACAACAAAAGTAACAAGACATTTAGTTCGTTCTGTTAGGTCGACGTTCTCGTGATTACTGGTAGTAGACCTTCGACTGGTCCGCATTCCAACTATGCTTGATGCCTTAACCATCAAGCTCTGCCAGCCGATACGACCCATTAGTCACAATTTCTCTTATTCTGCAGGGCCCTTCCTAAGTTGGGCCCAAGGTTCCGGAGTTCTTGGGTTTGGTGTTGGGGGTTACCACCCATAAGACTAGGTCTCCGACCCCGAAGCGCTTTTGCTTGACCTTCTTGTTATAATACCTAGCAGTTCTTGCCCGGTAAGCGGCGAGCCTTAGCTCTGCGTCCGTGCGCCGTTCTTTCAGGAGGTCGAGCTCCAAGCCCATCAGCTCAGTGTTCCTCTCCTCCTCGTACCGGGTTACCCGGTTGGTCGGGATGGACACCTCGACTGGAAGGATTGCCTCGACCCCGTATGCCATCGAGAAAGGGGTTTCCCCCGTAGTAGTTCTGCTCGTTGTTCTGTAGGCCCACAACACTTTCGGCAACTCATCGGCCCATTTCCCTTTGTAAGCGTTGAGGCGTCGTTTGAACGTGACTTGGATTATCTTATTGACCGCCTCAACCTGCCAGTTGGACTGGGGGTATACGACGGAGAAAAAATTCTTGTGGATTCCTAGTAGGCAAAACTGGCTGGTGTTGTCGTTATTGAACTGTTTCCCGTTGTTAGAGACGAGAGAATGCGGCACACTAAACCTGTAAACTATGTTGTTCCATATGAAGTTCGTACATTCTTCCTCTGAGATGGTCGTCAATGGCTCGGTTTCTACCCACTTTATGAAGTAGTCGACCGCGACAATAGCGAACGTATAACCCCCCGGGGTTTTGTACAGGGGACCGATAAGGTCAATTCCCCATTTAGCGAAGGGTCAGGGAGACACTATAGATGTTAGGTCCTCTGAGTGCAGTTGAGGTATGGGGGCGTACCTCTGGCAGCTCTCGCACCTCTTCGCGTACTCGGCTGCGTCTTTCTTGAGACTTGGCCAGTAATACCCTTGCCGAAGTATTTTGTAGGCTAGGGACTGTCCCCCCGCGTGGTTCCCACATATCCCATCGTGCACCTCAGACAGCACTCTCGTTGCCTCTCCTGTGCCGAGGCACCTGAGCAAGGGCGTCGAGTACCTCCTGCGATAGAGAGATTATCGTGCATTGTGTACCTTGCTGCCTGGTACCTCATCTTTTTTGCCTCATGCCTGTCCTCAGGGAGTTCACCGTGGACCAAGTACCTGATGATTGGGTCCATCCAGCTCGGCTGATAATCCACCGGCACGACCTCGGGCCTCTTTTCCGTGGTCGGGGCTTTCAAGACCTCCACGGGAACCAGGTTCAAGAGCTCGACATCTCTCGACGTCGCCAACTTGGCAAGGGCGTCGACGTTGCTATTATCTGCTCTTGGCACTTGCTGTATATCGTAGGCCGTGAGCCTCCTCAGGGCTTCTTTGACCTTCTTCACATACGCGGCCATTTTCTCATCCCGGGTCTGGTATTGGCCCTTCATTTGATATACAATAAGTTGTGAATCGCTAAAGATGTCCAAGTTCCCCGCTAATCGGAGTCCAGCCAGCAGCACCTCGTATTCGACTTCGTTATTAGATGCGGGGAATTCAAACCTGATGGCCGAGGTGATCTTGTGTGCCTCAGGTGTGTGTAATACCAGCCCTGCCCCATTGCCGTTGTCGTTGGAGCTCCCGTCAACGTAGTGCTTCCATCGCGGTGATTTGTCAGCTTTCTCAACGTTGTCCGGTAACCCTATGAACTCTGCCACAAAGTCTGCCAGGGCTTGGCCCTTGATGGCAGTCCGCAGTTTGTAGTCGATGTCGAACTGGCTGAGCTCTATGGACCATTTCAAGAGTCAACCGGAGGTGTCGGGCTTTTGCAGCACTTGCCTGAGTAGGTGGTTAGTCAAGACCTGAATGCCATGGGCCTGGAAGTAGTGCCGCAACTTCCTCACTGTCACAACTAGCGCGAGGGCGAGCTTTTCCATCTGGGGATACCTCGCATTCGCGTCGAGGAGGTGCTTGCTAGTGTAATACACTGGCATCTACACCTTCTTCTCCTCGCAGATCACCATCAGGCTAACGACGTGTTCTGAGACCGCCAGGTAAAAGCTCAGCACCTCTTTGGTCACAGGTTTAGACAGCAGAGGGGGTTTTCCAAGGTGTTCCTTCAGTTGTTGGAACGCCTGTTCGCACTCTTCTGTCCACAAGAATGGCTTGCTGCCCCTCAGGGTGTCAAAGAACGGTATGCACTTATCTGTAGACTTTGAAATAAATCGGTTAAGTGCGGCCACACAGCCTGTCAGCTTCTGGACTTCCTTGGGCTTCCTCGGTGATCCCATGTCAAAGAGGGCCTGAATCTTTTCCGGATTGGCATCGATTCCTCAACTGCTCACCATGAAACCCAAGAATTTCCCAGAGGCGACGTCGAAGGCACACTTGCGGGGGTTTAGCTTCAGTTTGTATGCTCTGAGGACGCTAAACATCCTCCTAAGGTCCTCCACATGGTCCTCTGTCTTCCTGTTCTTTACCAGTATGTCATCCACGTAAACTTCCATTGACTTTCCTATCTGCCCCACGAACATCTTGTTGACGAGGCGTTGATAAGTTGCCCCGGCGTTTTTGAGACCGAATGCCATCACCTTGTAACAGTAGAGGCCTATGTCGGTGACAAACACCGTGTGTTCTTCATCGCGGTCGAGCATTGGTATCTGATTGTACCCAGAGTATGCGTCCATGAAGCTCAGTAGTTCGTGCCCCACCGTAGCGTCAACCAGCTGATCGATTCGGGGAAGTGGGAAGATGTCCTTAGGACATGCTTTGTTCAGGTCACTGAAGTCGACGCATGTCCTCCACTCTCCATTTGGCTTCCTTACCAATACGGGATTCGAGACCCACCTAGGGTACAAGACTTCTCGGATGAAGTTGTTTCTGATCAGCTTGTCGACCTTTTCCTGCAGGGCCTCGTACCGCTCGACGTTCATAGGTCGTCGCTTCTATCTCTTAGGCCTAAATTTCTCGTCGATGTTCAGTCTGTGACACATGACGTCGGGGCTTATCCCTTCCATGTATTCGTGGGTCCAGGCGAACACGTCGAGGCTTGTTCTGAGGAACTCGACCAGTCTTTCGTGGGCCTGTGTCCCCAGTTCTGAGCCCACCCTTAACATTCTCATCAGCTTTCTTTCATCAAGGGGGACCTCGATCAATTCCTCGACGGGTCCCGTTCCGATCTCATCTCCTAGGAACCTTGGATCCAAATTGCATTCTTCCGCCCTAATCTCGACCATTCTCAGCTCCCTCCATACCTGTGTCGACTCGGCGTAGTGGCGGACCGTCTCCGAGTACATAAGCCTCGACTCGTACTAATTTTCCCGGGCCTTACCGATCCCATTGGGTGTTGGGAACTTCATCATCTGGTGGTAGATGGATGTGACTGTCCTCAGATCCCTCAACGTCGGGCGCCCTATGACCGCGTTGTATTGGTCGCCTCCCTTCACCACCAGAAATTTTGACATGACAGTCGAGGTGTGTGGTCGGTCTCCAATTGTCATGGGCAACTCTATCGCCCCTTCCGGGATGACGCTATCCCCTGTGAAACCGTACAAGGACTGCGCACTATTTTGTAGCCTTGCGCGGGGGATCCCCATCTTGTCAAGGCAGTCCGAGTACAAGATGTCCACGGAGCTGCCGTTGTCGACCAGGATACAGCAAACCGTATGGTTACCGATCATGGCCTCGATGACCAAGGCGTCGCTCTGGGGGAAATGTACCCCCCTCACGTCGGCCTCCGAGAAAGTGATTTCGGCCTCCTCGTATCGCGTTGCCTTAGCCTTGCATCTGGAGACGTTAATAATCCTCTGGCTGAACTTTTCCTTTGCCTCCCGAGCGTACTCCTTCTGTGTGCGTTGGGAGGAGCCTCCGAGGTATGGTCCCCTGAAGATCGTTCTTATAACGCCGGCCGGCTCGGGCGGGTTGTCGTGCCTCTGCTCTTCCCGTCGGTCGTTATTGCATCTGTTGTTATTGTTCCGTCGGTCGGCTCAGTACTCGCTGAGCCTCCCCTCCCAGATCAACCTCTTGACCTCGTCCCTCAGGTCGTAGCATTTAGCTGTAGTATGCCCACTCTCACCGTGAAACCGACAGTACTTGTTTTGATTTCTCCGTGCAGGGTCAGACTTCAACGGCGGTGGTCGACGCATGACCTGGAGGTGGCTGATCTCATGGTAGACGTCCTCGATCCCCATAATCAAGGGTGTATAGGCGTCGTACCTCTGCGGCTTTGGTCGCTTGCTTTCCCCCTGGCTCATCGAGGCGTTGCCGCCCCTATTGCTCGGAGCCGGGTTATACCTCTTATCGGCTTGCACCTGAGGGAGTCCTCAGTGCTTCTTGCCCTTATTTTGATTGCTCACCTGCCCTACCTCCTCTTTGACAGGGGTCGGCGCCTTACTCTTCAAGGCCTTCTTAGCCTCATCGGCGTTAATGAACCCCTGTGCCCTCGTTAGGAACTCCTGGTAGGTATGGGGCGGTCTCCGGTCGAGGTCCGTGCTATAGGGGATATCCTTCTTCATGCTCGACAGCGCCCCCATCAAGGCCACCTCGTCAGAGATTCCCTCGGTGGCAGCGACTTGCTCCCCAAACCGGGCTATCCAGTCCTTCAGAGACTCATTAGGCCCCTGGTACACCCTTGAGAGGTTTTGTTTAGGTGGAACGTATTTCTTGACACCTATGAACTGAGTCAAAAAGGCGTTCTTCAGATCATCCCAGCTGGTGATGGAGTTTGGCTTCAACGATCTAAACCATCTCCTCGCGGAGTCGGAGAGGTGATTCCTGAATGCCCGGCACATGACCTCCTCAGGGTATCCATGCAGGACCATATGCCCTGTGTAAACCTCCAAGTGGCCATCCGGATCGCTCATTCTGTCATATAGCAGAATGGGAGGCGATATATACTTGTCCGGGAGCGGCACCTGAATGATATTCTCTATGAACGGGTGGTCGTGCGACGTATACATCTTGGTGTCGACATTGACCGCCTCGGCTACCTTCCCTACAACTTGCTCGAAGTTGTTTAATCGACTCCCAATCCGCTTTTCAAGCTTAGCCATCTTCTCGGCCAGGGCCTTATTATCCGCTGCGAGCTCTTCCTCTCTCGCCAGCTGCACGGCTTTCCCACGTCGAGCGTCGAGCCTCGCCCTGAGGTCCCCGCCGTGCACAGACGAAGACCCCACGGGGACAACATTCCTCCTATTTGTGTCCGGTTGTGGTCGATGGGGCGCATCCCTGTTATTCACAACTTGCGCCGCAGCCTCCTCCCGCGCTATCCTCTGTGCCGCCCATTGCCTGCCCCCCACCGACCTGTTTGACTTGGCCGGGCGAGGATCGTTGGCTCGACTATCACTGATCCCCTCGGTGTCACCGCGTTGGTCGCCAATCCCTTGGTCCCCAACGGCGGCGTTCACCGGGTTCATCGGCGCATCCTCCAACGGTGGCATAGAGTTTTGACCTTGATCCCGCCCAGCAAGGGCCGTAGCCATCCTTTCTACGGCTGCGGCCAGCGTTTCGACCTGTTTTTGAAGCTGGTCGAGGCGGTCTGGGGGGTTCACAGCGGCTGGTGGGAGTGGGTTCATCGAGGTCCCCGCGGCGATGGGATTTTGGGTTGCCTAGCTCCTTGGGTCGGCCACTAGCAGGCGAGCGTTCCTGAGAGGCATAGTTACTATTTCCTTTTTGTTAAAAATTGGATTAGATTTCTGGGCTTAAGGGCCCTCCTTCTACCGTCAATTGTTGACGGTGTTTTTCCGTCAACTCGTGATTACCTCTCCAGAAACAACACGCGTTAACACTCACGGTCTAATTAAGGATTAAGACTTAAAAATAACACAAGGGAGACAACAATTTTATAGTGGTTCGGCAATAACTCTTTGCCTAATCCACTTGTGCGTGCACTAATATTTCAGTCGGTTACAAGTTTTCTCCTCTTAGTAATGAAATGGCGTCTACCTCCTTTTTGGGCGCTATTTGGCTCTATTTATAGGCAGTTACAAACAACTAAGCCTTCTCCGTTCCCAAGGAGGAAGCCATCTTCCATCCTCGATCTTCGGGAGGGTAGGTGAGTTTTTATGATGACAATCTCAGGAAATGCGGCTGACCCCTCTCATCTGCCGCACGATCTACTGACTCCTGCAGTAGCCGTTGGATTAATGCTTCCTTCCCCGAGTTGACAAGACCGCTGACGGATTTGACTTGACGGGATTCCTCGACGCAGTGGCTCTCAGAGGTCGAATCCCTATCCTCGACGCCTATCTCCGCGTGTGATCTCTCGGCGTAGAGGGCACCTTAACTACAACCACTCCTTTGACGCCAACGACCGATGCAAAACGGAGAGTCATCAACGTCTAACGTTAAGAGTGTGGTCGATCCCTCGACCATGGTGTAACAAGCACGACTCACTACCACGTAAGCTGTAGGCCAGAGCTGCCTCCATTATCATTGTAAAATCAGTGCACACGAGACACGAGCAGACGGGCATATATTAAGGAAGTAGTTAGTCATCCTTTCCACCCAGCTAAAACTAAAACAATTATTTTAACCAACCCACCCGCCACCATCCCACCTGGAAGATGGCGGTGACGGACTTCTTCGCCGGCGAGATCGCGACGGAGCTGCTGAAGCAGCTGTGGGACATATCCCGAAAGTCATGCCTCTGCAAATCAACCGCCGACAACCTCATATCCCACCTGGAGCAGCTCCTCCCCATCATCCAGGAGATCAAGTACACCGGCGTCGAGCTCTCCGCCGTCCGGCAGGCCCAGCTGGACCGATTCTCCGAGCTCCTCCGCGACGGCAAGGAGCTCGCCACCAAGGTCCTCAACTCCGCCCGCTGGAACTTCTACAAGAACCTCATGTACGCCCGCAAGCTCGAGCGCCTCGAGAAGCGCGTCGCCGTCTTCATGCAGGGCCCACTCCAGGCCCACCTCCTCGCCGACGTCCACCACCTCCGCTTTGACACCGCCGAGCGGTTCGACCGCCTCGACCAGTCCAACCACCGGATCGAGACCTGGCTCGGCTCCCTCAAGATCGGCGTCGGAGGACCAGCCTGGGTCGAGGAGGCGATTCGGCAGGCCGAGGAGGATGACCACCACGCCATGAACGAGGAGGGTAGTTTGGTCAATATGGGTCTGGACTTGGGGAAGAAGAAGGTTAAGGAGATGGTTATCGGGAGAGACGATTTGAGTGTCGTTGGGATTTCCGGCATTGGCGGCTCTGGCAAAACCACTCTCGCCAGAGAGTTTTGCAGAGACGATGATGTTAAATGTAAGTAAATAAAATAACTAAATAAAATGCAATAAGAAATTTCTTCTTCCTCAAAAAATAATTTTATTTAAGAATCTAATTCTTGTTTTTAAATAGCTCACTTCAAGGACAGGATTTTGTTCCTAACGGTGTCACAATCTCCGAACGTGGAGCAGTTGCGGTCGAGGATTTGGGGGTTTTTGATGGGGAACGATAATCTGGGGGCCAATTACGTTATTCCTGAATGGAACTTACAGTGTCCATTGAAGACAAGCGTCCGAAATCTGGTCGTTTTGGACGACGTTTGGTCGCTTCAAGTGCTAGAAAGGCTGATCTTCAAAATCCCCGGCTGCAAAACACTTGTCGTTTCTCGTTTCAAGTTCCCGACGGTCCTCAATACAACGTACGAAGTCGAGTTGTTGAGAGAACAAGAAGCTCTTGCTCTGTTTTGTCACTCTGCCTTTGGACAGAAATCCATGCCTCCGAATGCTAATCATAATCTGGTCAAACAGGTAATGAATAAAGTCGCTTCTCAATCTCAAAACTCAGTTAAAACCATTAGTACTTTCTCTTTTGTAGGTTTGATAATTGAAGATTTATTTATTGGTTTTAGATTGTCAACAAGTGTAAAGGTCTTCCGTTAGCCCTCAAGGTCATTGGAGCTTCGTTACGGGACCAGCCGGAAATGTACTGGGAAAGCGCCAAGAACAGGTTGTCTCGCGGGGAAGCCATTTGCGAGTCCCACGAGAATCACCTTCTTGAGCGAATGGCGATAAGCGTGAACTGCTTGTCTGATAAAGTTAGGGAGTGTTTCTTGGACTTGGGAGCTTTCCCCGAGGACAAGAAAATCCCCTTGGATATCCTCATCAACATGTGGGTCGAATTGCACGACATCGACGTGCAAGAAGCCTTCGCCATTCTCGTCGAGCTCGCGAACAAGAATTTGCTCACCCTGGTAAAAGATGCGCGGTATGTACTCTTAAAAACTGTTTTATTGTCTCTTGGTGCAAAATTTTGTCCACACTAAAATAACGTCCTTAAACTTATAGTCTGAATCAAAATCAAGAACGTACGTGATGAAAGCACAAATAGGAATTGGGCTTTCTAAAAGCTTAGAGTTCCATCTTGAAAGATCAATATGCTAAATGAAGTGGATCCTTAAAAGTTTATGTTGAATTTTACGTTTGAATAAATAATATGACTTCGATTTGTTGTTATTATTATTATTGTGTGTGTCTATTCTTGGTGTTTGCAGAGATGGAGATGTGTACACCAGCTACTATGACGTTGCTGTTACTCAGCATGATGTGTTGAGGGACCTGGCACTGCATCTGAGTAACCGTGGCAATATAAGTGAGCGGAAGAGGTTACTAATGCCGAGGAGAGAAGCGGGGCTTCCAAAAGAATGGGAAAGGAATTCAGATAATCCATTTAACGCTCGGATTGTTTCTGTTCATACAGGTATTACCATCATCACTAACATAGATAGACAAGCCTATCATGTACATTTTTGGCAAAATTTCTTATGTTTGTAATCTCTGCAATATAGGGGAAATGAACGAAATGGACTGGTTCCAAATGGAGTTTCCAAAGGCTGAAGTTCTGATATTGAATTTCTCATCAGAGGAATACTTCTTACCTCCCTTCATGGAGTACATGCCAATGCTTAGGGCATTGGTAATCATAAATTACCATTCAGCCAATGCATTCCTTCGCAATTTCCCTGAATTTTCGAGCCTGGCCAACCTAAGGAGTCTCTGGCTTGAAAAAGTTTCAGTCCCTCAGTTATCAACTTCCACTGTCCCACTAAAAAATTTGAGAAAACTATCCCTGGTCCTCTGCAAGATCAACAACAGCTTTGATCAATCTGTGGTGGACTTGCCCCATACATTCCCTGCTTTGTTGGAATTCACGATCGATCACTGTGACGACTTGTACGAGCTTCCTTCGAGCATCTGCATGATGCCTTTCCTCCAGAATATGAGCATCACCAATTGTCACTATCTATACAAACTACCAGCTGAGCTGGGAAAGCTCAGGTCTCTACATATTCTGAGGTTATATGCGTGCCCTGAACTAAAGGAGCTTCCTCTCAGCATTTGCGAGCTACTTGGCTTGAAATATCTCGACATATCGCAATGCGTTAAACTGTCATGTCTTCCTCAAGGGATCGATAGGCTTGCGAGCTTGGAAAAGATCGACATGCGGGAGTGTTCTAGGTTCAGGAGTATCCCAAAGTTTTCTGCTTCTTTGAAGTCTTTAAGGCAGGTAATCTGCGATGATGAGGTCTCTTGGCTATGGGAGGACGCCAAGAGCGCATTGCCGAATCTTTACATTAAGGTTGCCGAGAAATATTTCAGCCTGGACTGGCTTGACGAGTGAACTATATCTAGTGACCATCAAAAATTGTATTTGGTGTTTGATGTACATAATTTTGTAAACAATTTCCGAAGTAATAAGAAGTTCTATTCCACTCTCTTTTTGCATTTTCATTCCCTGACTTATAGAGTGCGTTTGGAATCCGTTCTAAAATAATTTTATTTTTTTGTATGAAAATAGAAATGAAAACGTTTTCAATCTCAAGTAGAAATCATTTCTGAAAATGTGTTTAGTAGTTTTATTCTGATATTGTTTTCAATATAAGAAAAAATAGAAATACTATTTGGTAATTCATTTATACTGATCTCAACTATTCATAAATCATAACAACAATGTATATCATAATAACAATGTAAAGATTTAACATAAACATAATTCAATCAATTCCTTAAAAAAGAAAAAGATTTGGATGGTTGCCTAAATCTCTCTATGTCTCCCACTTTGTTCTATCACTGTCAAATTACTGAAAAAAGCTCTGAGGACGATCTTCATACTCGTATTTGGCAATTCTCAATGCAAGAACAATACCAAGACTCGCAAACCCAAATTCGACCACGATCATGAATTTGTTTTATAGGCTATGGTGATAAAAATACCACCAGGATTTTTCTTAACAAAATAAAAATAAATAAAACTAAAAATCAAAACCTAGATCTGCATCACCATTTCCCTCTGTCAGATCCGTGCCACCCATGCTAGATCCGCACCCAACGGAGTCCATAGCTAGCCACCGCGTTGGGCTCAGAAATCGCGACCGTCACCCTCACCATCATTGTCGCCGTCGGTTGCAACCGTCCTATCAAGCGCATAACTCTTGCTATAAAATTCATCCCCCAATTTTCTAGAACAAAACAAAAGAAATCAAAATCAAATTAGCTGAGTATGGAATTCATTATAGAGTTTCTGATTGTTTTTTAACAAGATCAATAAGATCTTAGAAAGAGAGATCGGGGGTCCAAATCGAGTTAGGAAAGGGAAAACGGAGAAGAGAATGGAGAAGAGGGCGAGAAGAAAATGGAGAACAGGGAGAGAAGAGCACGGCGAGAGAAGTGAAGGTAAAAACAAATTTCAGACGGAGAGAAAATGGAAACGGAGAAAATAAAAACGACTTTAATTCGTTTTTAGAAATGCATCCATTTTTAGAAAAAAAAATATAAAAACGTTTTTATTTTTAATTTTAATACAGTACTACCCTAAACACATTTTTCTTTCTATTTTTATTTTTATTTTTTAGAAAATGTGAAAAACGTTTTTGAAAACGGAAACAAACACGGCATACTCAACTAGTACCGCCGAAAGTGTTACAAAATTTTAGCATTTTAATGTTGAATGTGTTAGTCTAAGCGCGAAGATCCAGTTACTAGTGCAAATCACTTTGCTTCAAGACCATGAACACGAAATAATAAAAATTAAAAAAAAAATCTAAAGACTATTTGGCAAAAAGCAAACGCTTTTATTTATGGGTCAACGCACCACAAATTTTCCAGGGCATCAGTCACTCAGGGCGGCTGGGAAGCAAAAGTAGAACTTGAGAAAATTGCATATGAATCCAAAAGTTGGGACACTCAAGTGGGGTCCATTACTACGTGTTCTTTGGTTTGACCTTAATAATTCTATGGGCTGCTGTATTATCTCACACCCGGTTATTTTATCTATTAAAATTTAAGTTTTATTATATTAAAAAATTATTAAAAATAATTATATTTAATTTTTTTACTGTAATAAAATTTATTTATATAAAATTATATCTTAATTTAAATTAAAAATTTAAATCTTATATATATCTTCTTTTCTTTCACGCGCCCCAAAAAAAAAAGTTATATCAAACGCGGATTTATGTAAGCCTCGTTCATCTCGTCGATTCGAGTTTAGAATTTAAGTTTTATTACAATAAAAAGTTCTCAGAAATAATCACATCTAATTTTTTTACTACAGTAAAAAATTCTCACATAAAATCATATCACAACTCGAATTAACGAACTAAACGAGCATGAAGTGATAGAAAACGTGTGGGACCAGGCTTCAGTGAGAATGGAGAATGAAGGTTCTTTAGTCGATTTATGCCTACAAGTGACGTAATGTTTGATAGGAGAAAAAAAAAATAATGAAAAGAAAAAGATATTAGATATGTTACTCGTTGAACTATATATTTAGACGTCCAATTTCTGATTGAGCCTTCTCTTACAATATGATGCAGGTAATGGACCATCACTGAAGTCTGAAAGGCTACAGAATATTTCTTTTTTAAACTTGTTTGTTTTCTTTTTATTATGTGTTTTGTTTTATATATTTTGTTTATATTGACTAGAGTTTCAACTTTCGTGCATGCCTCATGTTTTTGATTAAAAAGTAACGATCAGGCGTCATTTACTGCATTTTCCAAACCTTAAATTAGATAAGCTCGTCGACTATGACTACTCAAGATCAATTGAATTTTTAACTTTGAAAGTTAGGCAGCTTTGTACATGAAACATATTTACGTCCCATTCATTTTACCGATTTAAGTTTAAAATTTAATTTTTATGACAGTAAAAAACTTTAAAAAAATAGTAAAATTTAAATTTTTTATTACAGTAAAAAACTCATATAAAATCACGTCTCAACTCGAATCAATAAACTAAACGGACTCTTAAAAAATCATGTTTAAGGTATGAAAAGAAAAAAAAAATACTCTTTGAGACGATTACGACCAGAAAATCACATCAAAGTCATATCATTAAAAACAATAAATTGACTAAATCTAGTTAATGATTAAAATCTATTTCCTACTATTAAAGCATTCCTACAGTGAATTCTCCTTTTTATTTCTTTGTTCTACTTTTCTATCAAGAGATGAAACCTATTTTATAGGGGACCGAAATAACAGCAAGCTTTGTTGTTGTCGTTGTTTTTTTTTTTTTTTTTTGTCCTGAATTAAACCTGTTACAACAACGGAAAACACTTCATTTCAGCAGTTAAAAAGTCAAACGTTGACTTACCTCAGTGTCTACAACAGACTTTACTCTTCAAAATTTAAAAAAAAAACCTCCGATACGCTAAGGTAGACTAAATTTTCTATATGTTAAATCTACATGTAAAAATAAAAAAAAATACGCAAATTTAACGGTTAAAAAAACCAACCTACTAATTCGCCAGCCAAATCAGCACCAAAACCCTTTAGAAGGCAGAGGAGAGTGAGATCGTTAACCTTGAAGTTCAAGATCTGGGAGAGACTTGGCCAACAAGAGTTGAAAACAAAAGGATGGGAAAAATTAAAAAGGAAAATTTTCAAGGGAGATGTGTGAATTGTGAACGATGGAAAAGCTGCACGGACCAACAACTACCATCGAGGCCCCCGGGAAAAATTCTACAAGGCTCAAAAATCATGACATTTATAATATCGTTACAATTTATAACACAACCCAACATGCCCATGAAACAAAGATTGTGCTTATAGATAAGATAGTACACACAAAACTGATAATATACAACATCCGACAATTTGAGCTCACAGAAATCTGCTGGGAATATATTCATGTATCCTGAGGGGTAGACCGTAAAACTCATCATTTCTTGGGTCTCCCTTCCTGTGCTGGAAGGGTCTCCACCATGGCACTCCTCTGTCATCAATCGCATACTTGGATTCAAGCGTGTTGTCGAGCAACGTCCCCACAATCATGGCAACCGTTGGGGGAGACGAGAAGATTGTGTTCAGTATGTCGTCGAACTGCAGGTACGACAAAATCATGTATACATATCAGACGAGTTTAAGCTGATATTGAAAAATGTCGATAGAGAATCAATGTAGAGAGAGCTCAGATTACTAGCATGTTTAAGATAAATATAACTTACCCATCCAGCATCCGTTCTGACTGGTCCACGGCCATCAGCAGTGGTGTTCATAACAAAATATTGAGGTATTGATATCCCAAGGAACAAGGAAAGGCCCAAAATGTAGAGATTTCTCATAGAATTACTGTTTGCGAATTGTATGAAAGAGATCCCAGAAGCAGCTGGCCAAAAAAAAAAAAACAAACAAAAAAAAAAGATACTAATTCTGTTAGATACTAGCTCCTGGAAAGTTACTGACTAAGAGGGGTAAAGTGGGGGAGAAAGAAAATAAATTGGGTTTGGATGTAATTTCTGAGGAATTATGTTTACTGCTGATTTGTCTTGGTTTTGGCTAGGATTAGAGGGAAGGTATAAAAGGGAGGTAAGGGGCAGAGTTTGATTAGGCTGAGATTTGTGAGGAAGAGTTGGTGGTCTCTCGAATACCACCGAGTTAGGAGTTGGAGTCCTCCAATACTCCAGTCTATCCATTTCGGTTTTCTTTAATTTTCTCAAGCTGATTTTGGTTTGTATGAGCTGGTGTTGAAGTTAATCTCAATAAAAAAAAAATTTCTGTTCGCATTCAATTCTGGTGTTTGGCTGCTTGGGTTGTTTGGCTGGGAAAAAGACCACGTTCCTAGCAAATTCATATGTATATAGTACGTGTTCATAACTAGAAACACAGAAAAAACTGAGAAGAAAAAAAGACAAATTGGACCATAATGTCATCAGCAGCATCACTCACCGACAATGCCAAACAAAACACAGTATATTGCAGCAAATATTGGCAAAGGAATAGATGCAAAGAAGGCACCAAACTTTCCTGAAAACACACAACGTAAGATGATCAAACATGAGAACGCAACCCTGAATTCTTCGAAATAATGTCGACAGGAAGTGAAAAACAAACCAAATATGGAGAAGAAGAACATGAAAGCAGTAGATATTTGCACTACTCTTCTGCTACCAATGTGTGTGAGTCCAAGGAGGCCAACATTTTCACTGTAACAGTATTTAGAAAATATTGTTAATAATGTAAGGAGAAGTGGTAAAAAAGAAAACCGAAAACTGTATAGCACATGAAATATGAAAAGCAAAACCGGATAGAAGCATTGTTTTCTTACACAGATGCAGTATTGCCAAAAGCAGCACCGAAAATTCCTTCAAGCAGCATGCCTATACCCTGCATTTGGAAATTACAGAACCTTATTTTTAATTTCTAGTTGGTTAAGGTCCTTAAGGAATATCGAAAGACCTATAATTCTATCTTCATGACAGCAACTATAAAGATATAGAATTTTCAGTTTTGGGAGTTGTCTAGGGTCGAACAACAGAACAGATGGTGACCAAACCTGCATTCCAATACTTCTGCTAAGAACAAATGCTGGAGGAGCTGTAGCACCAGAAAGCCGCGCTGCGGCAAAAAAAGTTCCAGTTGACTGCATTGATTGTTAAAGTTATATTCCAACATAGAAAAGAGATTGCGAACTCAATACAAAGTCTCAGATAATAAATCAGTTATCAATACACTATATTGAAGCCAACTTTAACTAAGATTTGAAAATCTCGTGAATAAAACCAAACGAGAATAGGAAAAGTAAATTTCACAATATATTTAGGAAGACAAGCAGGAAAAGAATCAGTGTCTTTCTAAGTAAATTGATACTGAATTTCTGTGGATAGAGACTAAACCTCGGCAGATGCAACAAGAGCTGCCCCCATCATCCCAAAGACGTGGCTTGCTTTGAATATGGGAGTACCCCACTGAAATGGGTATGGAATTCTGATCCTACATTGGAACAATACCATATTGTGTCAAGAGAAATAATTCCCAGAAGGAAAAAACATGACTCCATTAGGAAGCAGAAGACTCGTCATGTGAACATACCAAGGAGCAGACGATATAAGGAAAGAGCGGTCCGTACGGCAACTTATTTTAGTCTGCTGCTTAACATTGTTGTAAGCACCAGCAGCAGTGAGGATAGCAGCAAAAACCCAGACAAGCCCAATGCAAAGAAGCAAGGCAAATCTTTCGAGTACGTGATGAGCAATAGGGTGGAGACGCTTCAAATACTGGAAAAACACAACATATACAGTTTTACAGTTATTGTAAACCCTCAGCAAAACGTTTAAGCACTATAAGTGGAAGGCTTGTTAAGTTGTTAACCTGTTGGGAGATGACCAGAAGAATTAACATTGGCAGGCCAATTTCCACGCAGTTCCCTAGCTGCATACAAGATAAAGAATGTTACACAGGCTTTTGATATTTCCACGCAGTAAGGTTTTCTGGAAGTGACATTACAAGTGGGAAGCCCCTCGAGAACAATCCAAGACCGACGAGTGAAACCAGTGGCACGATGACTATGGGACTAAAGAATCTACAGGGAAAAAACAATTTGACATGATGGTCAGGTTAATATGAACTCCTCCAACATTTCAAGCTACAAAATCTCAACAAGGACACAACAAATAGGAACTAAAATGATAATAAAAATTTGATATAAAAAGGTTAGAAATACGTTACCGTGTCAAATTGCCCCATGCCCCACTGAAACCGAGGATCATGTTGACAAAGGAAGAAACGATTAAAGATCCTTGGATAGTTCTCATTGTATAAAGAAACCTCTGCACGCCGCAAAAACTAAAGTTATCACGGTATCCATTTTTTTCTAAACACAAACTGCTAACAAGTCTTATAAAAAAAAAAAAAAAGAAAGCTCAGAAACCATCGAAGAGAAAATTCAGGCAAGGAAGTTTAAATGGCAATTAAATCAAACATAAACCTTACTCTCTTACGTAGCCTTAGAGACCCAGGCCTAGCTAACCAGGGCAGGAAACAAAAGAAGACAAGGAAAAGTCATGCTTGAATTGCTCGGAAGTCCGGATTGAAGAAGAGACAGATCAAAATGTGGTGCAGAAAAACCAAACAAACACAAACCATTGATCTATTGTTACATATATTTTGTTTCTTTCTATATTGGAACTTCAAGGACAACATTAACAATTTAAGAAGTAATCAAGAAGTTTAAAATAGTATGATGCATAAGATGTTTGCTCGAATGTGGGAAAGAAATCAGGTCATGTCATACATCGAAACACGAGTACACAATGTTTTTAAACATTTGAACATTTCATGAATTATGCGAACATACCATAAAAGTGCTAAAACGTACTCCATCTTTGTACATATAAATTCAGAAATAATTAACAATCCAATCATACTCCACCATATTTTTGGGTACCTCGTGCTCATCTGGAAATGTCCTTTCAGAGTAGCTGTTGATAATTGACAACACAGGCAGAACAAAAGCAAACGAGGCACTCATCACCGTCGGAAGCCTCGACCCAATCATCGTCTGAATCAGTGTGTTAATTCCTGCCATAAACAGCAATGTTTGGATCACCCGCGCTTTATCACCCTGTTGAAAAAAAATGTTAACCCCCCCGGGTTTTTTTTCCAAAAAAAAAAAAAAAAAAAAAAAAGACATTGGTATGGTCAGAAATAACTTACATTGTCTCCGCCCATTCGAGGCACAAGCGTCTTGGCAACCAAAACTATAGTCCCAAGCATCACAACATAATGTTGGAAAGCTAGAAGACATGATATTGCTGTAAAATCACAATTAATTCGAAGGATTAGTACTTGCAGAGATACTTAACTCCATCAACAATACTAAAAAGCAATATATATATATATATATATTCTCAACTTTACAATTTACCTAAAAGTTTCTCTTTATAGTTTTTGTAAACATGATACTTCAAAGTTCTAAGTTCTAACTTATGTAACATGGAATTGGCTATTGTTAAGGCCAAAAAAAAAAAAAAAAAAAACGAAGCGCGAATTGGCTAGGAAATTTATACAAATCAATTAAATAATGAGCATTTAGACTTAAAGATTTCAACTTTGAATTAAAATTAAATCGTAATCAAGGTCCAATAAAAATAAAGGTCATCTGAAATTGACGAGGCAGAAATGTAATAAATACATATATATATATATGGGGATTATGTAAGATCCTCTCCTTAGGCGTAACCCCACCCAAAAGATGTAGACATGCAGGCTGCAGTTAGCTAATACACTTAAAAATAATAACAACTAATAACAATAATAACAAGAAAAACACATACCTCTTTTAATTAAAAAATTAAAATACAAAAGAATCTCAACTTTACTATCTTTTCATCAGATAAAAAATTAAATTAAATTAACAAGAACAAGGAGATGTTTAGTTAGAGAATTCAAATCATGATTTAAATCAAGATTCGTTAGTTCACTACAATATTTTTTTTTATAAAAAATACACGTAAATAAAAAATAATTCTAATATTTTAATGTATGAACTAAACGTCTCTTAATATACCAATTAAAGTAGAAATCCAAATCAAAAAGGTGAATTTTCCAATATCCAGATTCGAGATAAAGCAAGTAAAAGAATGATATGAAGATAAGAAACAAAAAAACAAAAAGGGGAGAAATGGACTAACGCCAAGAGGGATTTGAGTGGATGCAATAGTTAAGCTGTTGGAGTTGCTCAGCCGGAACCCAAGTGGGACCCCTGACGCCTCCGAGCGGTAGCGGCTGAGGCGGCGGCGGCATCATCTGTGCTGACGGCGGTGGCTGGTGATTTGCCGTTTCCCCCATCTTTTCTTTTTTATTCCTTTTCTCCTCTTTCTTCTACTCTTTTTTTTCTTTGTTTTTTTTTTTAGCCTAAGCGGATTTCTGAGGAGAAAAGTTTCTTCCTTATTCCTTGTTCAGTGCTACTACTAGTAATTGTAAATCACCGACCTGAGAAAAATGAGAATATGGGAACCCGAGAGAGAGAGAGAGAGAGAGAGAGAATTAGTAAAGAAAAGTGTTGTTGTATTCTTCCGAGAAAGGAAAATAAATTTTTAAGGCAGGTCGTCATTTATTTACTTGTATTTATTTACTTATGCTCAGACCTCCTTCCCATAAAATACACAGAACCCTCAGAGAAAAAACAAAAACAAAAACACAGAGAGAGAGAGAGAGAGTTTTTTTTGTGTGCGTCTCAAACGGATTACGTTGGGACGTTGTCGTTTACTGAGAATTCAGAATGAAATAAAACCCAATTATGAAGTATGGGTCTCAACTCTTCAAACACCCTTCGAGGAAATTGCACTTTCTTGCGAACTTAAGCAATCCCATAAATAACAATTCTCAAAAACCAATATTTTCTCACATGCAATTTCCTCACCGTTACTGCTATATTTACTTGCTTTTTCTCAACCTCATAACGACCAATATTGCTGTTAATTAATTTGAATCTGGATGAGACATTCTTCACATTCTTTCTTTTTGTTATATTCTAATAGTGAAAGAGCATAACACAAACACATTATTATGAGATACAGGGTCTTGGAGAGAAAAAGGGGTCCAAAGACACTTGATTGTTTAGAGGTCTAATCGAAATTATAAACCTAACTTTTTTTCTTATCCGATAAATACAATGAAACTCTAGACGACCCACATGACAGAAAAGACATAAAAATAGAAAGCCAAAGTGATGCATGACAATTACCTTCCACCTCACAGTTTTAGCTCATTTCAAACTTAGAATATTTCATTTTTGGGCAAAATTGGGCCAAGAAAAACCACTACAATGATATAATTGGGTCACTCGTGTCTTTGTAATTCTTTTTTTCGAAAAAAAAAATGGTGAGAAAAAATACCTTTTTTTTTTTTTTTTTAATATGCATCTAACTTAAATTTTTTGGTCTAGTTCACTTTACGGAATTAAATTTTCAATTCGAGCAGAGATATGATTTTTTTTTAAGTTTTTAACTATAATAAAAAAAATTAAATGTGACATTTTTTAAAAAATTTTAACTGTAAAAATCTAAAATTAAAAATTTAAATCAGTAAATAAACGAGGTCTTTGTATTTTTATACGTTGAGTTTGTAATGACGGCTTTGATGATTCCGCAGTGGAGTTATTATTCAGATTTCAGTCAGTGGTTTTTGTTTGTAATGGACGGATCAAATCGATTTTACACTTGACAAAGGAGGATAAAAAGAAAGCGTTAAAAGGAGAATTCAGAATTTTTCAAATTTCGCGCAACCTTAGCTACGTAATTGTTTAATATATGTTTTTTGTTTAATGTAAATTTGTAATCACACTAGATCACGTAACTAATCATAAATTAACTAATGAACAATGCACAGGTGGATTAAGTGGAGATATTTTACAAGAATCAGTTAACAAAGCGAAATGAAACGAAAAGCAGTTCGATACCACGTTACGAGTTAAGAGAGGCATGTTATGTGTGAATACTAAATTACAAAAGTCGGCCATTAGTATCTCAGTCCCCACGTGCACATTTCAGCCGCTGTTTTGTGGCTAATGAACCAACCACGTAAACACGCTTTTCCTTTTTTTCTTTACACAATCCTGTAAACTAAGGAGTTGTACTTTTAAAATGTAATTTGAGTATAATTTTTAAGTTAAATTTGAATTATAATTTAAATTGAAGTTAGAATTTAAATAAAATTGAGTAAAATTAAATAAATTTAAAATTTAAAAAAATGTAAATTTAAATAAAATTAAAACTTAAATTGTCTTTTTTTAAATATTTTAAAAAAAGAACATGTCCTAAATATATCACGTCTTTTAAAAGATTTGTCTTAGTTGAATTGATGGAAGATGTACTTGGCATTTGAATCTAAGAACTGTGTAGTTATCTGAGGTCATCAATTTTTTTTTTTTCTTCCTTGGAGAGAAGGGATCGTCACTTAAAACAGAAGTTATCCAATGCGTTTTTACATTTTGCAGATACTGCGGCAGAAATTCGGATAAAAAACATGTGCGTAACAATATTCTGTCCCCGCTCTCTTTTTCGTTTGTCAAAATGTTTGGTATGAAATTGTTGTTATTATTAGAACCCTGACTAATTGTGCTGGTTGAAAATTCCCCCCTGATTATAAAAAAAAAAAAAAAAAAAAAGAAGAGAGAGAGAGAGAAGGCGATCGACAAAAAAAAAAAAATCCCACATCAAATGTCAATTACCGACGGGAAAATTAAAAAAGAAGAGATGCTAAATACTTCCTTTACATAATCCTAATAATAGATCCACATACAAATTATAAGTCAACATTATCCAGTATCAGAGTAAGGTTATAAAACTTTTATCTGATTCTCAACATATAAAGTCCAGCAATCAACAAAAAAAAATACGATTCTTCACGCTAGCTTATTATACCGGATTTCGCAGATCCTAATACTGCATCAACAAAGAACATTGTCCACGTTCTTTGAAAGCAGTACATTAAATGAAGCTGCAAATGTCATAGCAACGGCAGTTATTTAGGTCCAGTCAAGGAAAAACCATATGCTCGTGTTTTTAGGTTCGATCTACTCACAAAGTTTTCAGTATAGAGAGATTATGTGATCAGCCCGCAAGGAGGGGATTGACCACGTGACCACTGAACAGAACAGTCCCGGTCATGTCTTCTCTGATCAGGAACAGGAATGGATGGTCAGCAACAAAGTCTATTTCATTGCTGACCACCAGAGATCTCAAACTTATAACACCAGCAGAAGCAGCTGCAGCTTCTGTGCCTTCCTCATTAACTTCAATGAAGGACTTTTGGAATATGCTTGAAATATATAGGTTCTGACCGACAGGCGACTCCACCATCTCCGTCAGGCCACCTTCACCAGAGAAAGGCAACACCAGTCCTAGACTTTTCAGGGTATTGGAAGCTTCGAACCCAAATGAAATTTTGAACCTCGGAATCCTGAAGTCGCCCACTTTAACTTGTTGATAGGGAATATGGCGTTCCAAGAATCCAGGCCCTGAACCAATTTTGTCCACCAAATGTGGCAGCCCATCATTAGCATCTGGAAGAAAGAAGTACATGGAGAAGCGCCGCTTGTCCTCGCCTTGTTTATAAGGAAGTCCTAAGACTTTGAATCCGTCGTAGGCACTGACGAGCTGCTTCTTCTTGCTGGTCATGAAGGGTACCTTGACAGACCCATTAAGAAGGTGGAAGTCATAATCTTTTGTTTTTGAAGCATCAAACTGCTCGCTCCAGGCTCCTTTGAAGTACAATGCGTTGGCAAAGATGAGCCTGGTTGTACTGTCAACTGATCCAGGAGGAAGAACCTCTTTGATAAGGCCACTAGTTTCTTTCTCAGCCCATGAATTCACTTCTCGTGTCACCTCAGCAGCCTCCAGCACCCCCCACAATCAACGACTCACAATATCAGCATTCAGAAAACTAGGTTGTAAAAGAAAATATTAGGGAAACTAAACATGGTATCATTTCCAAAAATAGATAGGGAAAAGAATTACACGGTACAGAAAGTGAATAGGCAAATCTGTTGAGTTCTGTTGCCTAATTTTTGTTGTTTTTAGGATTAATCAAGGAGATTAGAAAAAAACACACACACACACACACAGAGGCTGAGAGAGCCCTGAGGTGTGATTTCTCTTGTAATCTTATTTTTCATCATAGTGAAATTTTATAGCGGCTAAAAATGGATGCAAACTCTTTCATCATGGTGAAACACTAAAAAACTTGTGTGTTCTTGTTTGTTCCTTTTTCTTCAGTGATTTTTATTGCTCTCAGTAGTATAGAATTAGGACGTCTAATTCTTAATAAAATCCCGGTGAAAACCATTGGAATCCTTGAAAAGTGGATAAATCCATTATGTTTTACAGATTGAAATGACTGATTGCTCTATCAGAGTCCAACTACGTTGCCCTCATTTTGTCATAAAAACATTTAGATAATACCAGTTTAACTATCATTTTCACAGTTTTGGCATAAGAAATTAGGAAAGAGAGATCTAGAAAATCACGGGGTCTCTTTCCTTCTTTAACTAAGTATAAAAACACATGGTTGAGATTCTCAAGAAATTCTGATACTAAAACGGCTCATAAGCCTCATGCTATTTGCTTAAAGAACAAAGAATTAACCCCAAAGTACGATATAAACACCCAATTTCAAAAAAACCCTCAATCTAATGAGCTGATCATAGAATAAAAGTCCATTTCTTTGATCATATTAACGCCTTAATAGTGCATCAATTTTACTTTACCGAACAGCTTAAAATAGCAACAAATAGGAAAACAAAATATAATTATAATAACCAAAGGAAAAAGAAAAGAAAAAAAGCGGATCATCATTATTCATCAGAAGTACAGATCGTTCACTCAAACAATTCCAAACCTAATTAAAAAGAAAGAGAGAATCTTTACCTTGGTCTGGAAATCAACCTGAGAAATAGCCGCCTTGTAAGAAGCGTCCACAACCTGTTTGAAAGAAGGCTTGAGAGGAAGAGACTTCTCGACCCAAGCGCCGTTGGCGAAGGACAATCGGGGTCCGCCTCCGGAGCTCCCGTCGGCGAAGACGACGGCGACGAGCTCGGAAGCGAAAGAGTTGAGGTGATCGGTGGACTTTGACTTGAGGAAGGAGAGAAGCTGGTCCAAGGTGGGACCCTTGGACCCAGCGGCGATCAGACTCAACACTACGTGGATCGACAATGGCGAGAAAACCAGGTTCGAGTCCTTGCCTTCGGTCTGAAGAAGATGCTTCGTGACGCTCAAAGCGACGTCGGTTAGGCTGGTTATTGTTTCACGGACGTCCATTGTTATCACGGAGAAGAAGAAGCTTACAAAGAGAGTAATGTATTAATGTGTCACCGACCGTCTGAGATTTCATTTGAAGAATGTGGGGCCTACGAGGATGTTACGGGAATACCCCCCATGAATTAGTGCCTCGAAACGTGAAAAGGACGACGTCTTACGAGGATGACTGGCATTTGAGATTTGACCGTTTACGCGTGTCTCTCCGAGAAGGAACCGTGTGGCAAACAAAAAACAAAAATTGCTGGCGTTTTATCCCATAAGTCCGTTCATTTGGTTGATTTCTTAATTTGATGAGTTTAAAATTTAAGTTAAGATGTGATATTATATAAAAATTTTTTATTATAATAAAAAAATTATGTAATTATTTTTAAAAATTTTTTATTATAATAAAATTTAAAATTTAAATTTAAATTAACGAAAATTAACAAAATAAACAGAGATTCTCAATAAACGCATAAAGATGATGTCGCTTTATTAAAACGACAGGGAAAACAATTCGGGACCGACGACAAAAATTATAGCGGGATGACAAGTTGACAACATCATCTATCCAACTAAACTGGGTAACTGAAAATGAAAATATTTGTCGTGGAAACGACATTGAAAACATTATGAGACATTGGGAATATTCAAAGAGACTCGTCAGTGTTCATGTGAATTTCTTCTTTTAACCTCATAAATGTGTATTTACCGATTTAACTTTTCATGTTTGCTTAATACATCCTTCCCGAGCTGGTTTTTGCGTCTCTCTCTTTAATTTTTTTAAGAAAAAAACTTTCTCCTCTGCGGATAGAGTAACAACTGTAATAGTATATTTCTTCTATTTTCTTCCACCGCCAATAGATCCCATTATTTCCTTCTCTTCTAAAAGCTTTCTTCCATTAGAAATTTTTTTTTTATCTCTTTGTTTTGTTATTAGCCTAACTTTTTTCCAATCTGATTTCTTTTTTCACTGTTTCTTCTCTCTGTTTTGTATCCTTTTGGGTTTTTTTCCCCATTTTGCTGCTTTGATTTTTTCTCTACTTATTTCGACGTTTTTTTTTATCTGATTTCTGTTTTCACTGTTTCTTCTCTCTATTTTTTTCTTTGGGTTTTTTTTTTGGATTTTGTTGATTTGATTTTTTTCCTACTTATTCCGACCTTTTTTTTGGATCCTATTTCTATTTTCAGTGCTTTTTCTGTCTGTTTTTCTCTTTTTGTTTTGGGTTTTTTGGATAACGTTGGTTTGTTCTTTTTCGTACTGATTTCGTTCTTCTTTCTTTGCTGGTTTGCTTTTTTTACCTATTTATTTCGTTATTTTTTTTGGATTCTATTTCTATTTTAACTGCTTCTTCTGTTTGATTTTTTCTTTTTGTTTTGGGTTTTTTTTTATGATGTTGGGTTTGTCTTTTTGGAGTTTAATTTCAGTATAATTCTTAAGTTGAATTTGAGTTATAACTTGAGTTGAACTTGTAATTTGAGTTGAACTTGTAACTTGAGTTAAACTTGTAACTTGAGTTTGTGTTTGGTTGTGTACATTTGAGTTATGGTTTGAGATAAAAATCTTTTTGAGTTTGTATTTAAATGAGTCAAAACTTGAATTTATATTTAGATAGTATTTTAATAAAAACTCAATGTTGATGAAAAATTTTAATAGAGTATATGGGTCGGGTTTTATTCATTTTTTCGTTGTTAACGCATAGAAAAAAATCATATAAATCAGAATTAAAATAAAAAAGTTATAACATTTTTAAAAATAGAAAAATACTGTTCATTAATTTGAGCTTGAGTTTCTGAACTCGAGTTGAAGAAAAAATTTAAACTCGAGTTTGAACTCGAGTTTAAACTTAAAAAAATATGAACTCAAATAAAATTGTAATTCGAGTTTTTTTTTTTTTTTTTTAAGTTTTTTACTAAAAAAAAACAAGTCCCTTGTTTTGATATTTTTCGCATTGATTTCGTTCTTCTTTTTGCGTATATTATTTCCTAGGCTTTTGCGTTATTTTTTCTCTCCAAATATGGTTTTATTCTGTTGTTTTTCCTTTCATCGTTTCTTTTGTCGGATTTTGTATTTCTTTTTACGTTTTCTTTGGTGCTAATGATTTTTTATCTTATGCACTGATTTCGTTATTTCGTCATTATGATGTTGTGTTCTTTTGTTTTATAAATTTTTTCTTTTTTTCGTCTATGCACGTATTTTTTCCTTCCTGCACTGATTTAGTTTCTATTCTCTTCTGCAGAGATATTAGGTGTGTTTAGAATTAATTTTAAAATAATTTTATTTTTTATATAAAAATGAAAATGAAAATATTTTTATTTTTATTTTAGAATCATTTTTAAAAATACGTTTGGTAGTTTTATTCTGAAATTATTTTCAGTTTTAAAAAAATTAAAATTGTGTTTGGTGGTTTAATTTTTAAAAACATGTAATAATATTTAAAATAATAATATATTAAATAAAGCGGCCCGCGCAGGCGGGGGGGCGGGCAGTCGCAGACGGCGGGGCGTAGTCGCAGAAGACTGGGGGGAGGGCGCGCAGTCGGAGACGGGGGTGGGGGGCGCACAGTCGCACGGTCGTAGAGTGCAAAGGCTGAAGAGAGAAAATGAAAACGGAAAATTGAAAACGGAAATAAATCGTTTTCAGATTTTCATATAAGGACAAGAACGTTTTTGTTTTTAATTTTTCAAAAATTTGACGCCAAACGCGTTTTCTTTACGCGTTTTTATTTTTCATTCTCGAAAATCGTGAAAAATAAAAACGAGATGGGAAACAAACAGGGCCATTGTTTCTTCTTCGGTTATGCTTTTTCATTATATGTTCATTTCTCATATCTTCTTAATTTTTTTTCCATCATTTAGGGTTTTTTTCTGGATTTTTTCAAAAGGGTTTTTTTTTTCTCTGGGCGGTTTTCTTTAATTTTATTTTAGAATTTTTGTTTGTAATTTTTTTCTACTTTATGTAATATTTTTTCCTTTATTATTTATTTCTTATTTGTTACTATTTTTTGCTGGTATTTTCTTTCTACAGTTCTCTAATGTATAAATGAGGGTGGTTTATATTGTGTTAGCATTGGTATTAGTGTTATAGTTTGACACATATATTTCATTTTCCTCCGTTTTGTATAACATATATCTATTATCTTACTGTCAGTAGTTTATTGGTTTTGTTTTGCGCTGACACTCATGCCTTATGACATCTACCGTAATATATTTATCACTCTAATTGATATTTTTTTGCAGGTGTTCATATAAGAGATTGAGCGAGATTTGTGACTATTATATTATGACACGTACGTTTCATCACTTTCAGTTCTGTTTAACACAAATCTAATATCTTATTGTTGGTTGTTTATTGATTCTATTTTGCAGTGCGATCCATAATTAATGATACTTACCATAATATAATCATCACTTTGATTGATATTTCTTTGCATGTTTTTGTGTCGGTCTTCTATCAAGATTTCAGTTACTTTGTGTATATATATTGGTCTTCATTTTATATTTGGTCTTCATCTGTTATATTCTATCCTTCTTAGCCTTATCTGTTTCCTTGCAGTTTAAAAGTATTATTTTTATTAGACTTTTCATAGTATTTCTACTGCCTCTCTGATATTTTGCTTTTTTTTTTTCATATGCAATATTTGGTCTTCTGTTACATCTAATTGTTCGGTGTACTTCTTTGTAAAAGATAATATATTTTTACTTATTATATGTGTTTCTTAGCTTTTTTAAAATATTACTTTATAATGTTATCTCGATTGGTTACATGAATTTATTTATTCATTTAGTCATTTACTAATGTTTATATTTTTTCCTAACCCTCTTTTTTTATGCGGTTTCAATTTCCTTTTTCTGTGATCGTTTAGTGCTTATGTTATTTTCATTATCGTTATTTAACTATATGTTATGTCTATATATATAATTTTTTTTTCCATCGTAAAGCATCTACCTTTTTTAAAGGGTTTTACTATTTATTGGTGATGATGTTGTATTTGTCTTCTATTATGAGCATGTATCATATGATTATTAATAGTGACTTGGCTGTTGTTGATGCTGCTCGAATAATTTTAATTTTATGCCTTTATCTTTTAACTTTTTTTATTCATGAGGTATTATTGTTCTTTCTTATTGAATATGTTATTTCTTCGCCTTCAGGTCATTATTTTTCAAAGCCTTTTTACACATTTTTACTAATCAGTTTCTAAAATTTCGTCTCTGTTTTATATTGCATGGCCTTAATCCTTTAGTAGTTCAAATTCATCATTTTGCCCTAAAGTTTTTAGTTATTCATTTGTTCTTATATATGTCTGGTTTGTACTTTTTGTGTAAGTGAAGGTTTTAAACGACAATCTAATTTCTTGATATTTTGCATAAATCTTGTAATAACTTTGATGGCAGCCAACTACGTTGCTAGGTTCTATTTTAGTTACATATGGTATATCTATGAGTAAGATTAAGAGATAAATATCTGAACCAAGTAACTAATAAACATTTTCCTGTTTTGTTTATCTTCCATTGACACTAAAATTGATTACTAACTCTAACTTTTTTTTATATATCTCAGTTTAAATGGATTTGTTTTTTTAGTTACTGAACTGAACAATGTCACACAAGAATTTATTTTATAAATTGATGAAAAATGTGCATGTCATGCATTTATTGAGCCGAGGATATTGTAGAGACTATTTAAACTTCCTTCCTTTTGTAAAACGTCTTTATCATATTAAATATTCATTATATTATAATGTTTTCTGTTTTATTTTGCTTATTCAAAGCAGGTTCGGTGTTAGACATTGAAAATTAAATTTAGTTGCTCTCTCCATCCTTTAGTCCCCTGCTTCATTAACAATCGTTTGATGCTTTCTATTGCTATCTATGCATCCTTTTTTAATCTATATTCGACATTGATTGGCTACCATTCCAGGTACCTTTAATAGTTTTTGCCCTGATTTATTTCATATCTGCCGCTGATGTTTCGTATATATGTATAATGTGTTGATAGTAATATGTGCTTTTTTAGTTCGATAGTATTTGTTCATACTATATTTTAATACATTCTTAATAAAAGTT